CCCTCCCTCCCTCCCTCTCTCTCTCTCTCTCTCTCTCTTTCTTCTTTCTTTCTTTTTAAAATATTATTTCTTAATATAATTATGGGACCTAAAATGTGTTGATTTCATTTACATAATCTTTTTCTTTGTGAAAATATGGGATAGGATGACCAATGGAAAACCTTGGGACCAAACATCCTGGAAAGCTACTTAGCTGGGGGCATCATTCACAGAAAGAAGCCAGAAAACAAACGTCCCTTCTCACTTTAATTCAGGCCTCTAGTGTGGTCCTATTTTTAATGTCATGAAAAATTAAAACTGATATAATAAATTTGAGTTCTTAAAGAGGTTAAGACTATGAAATTCTTTTTCTGGGAAAAAGAGTTCAGACTTGTTACTAAATAGTATTTCCTTACTATTCTTACATTAAATAAAAAATGTTTCCCTAATACACAGCACAAGAAACTTGACAAGAACAGTCTAGTACTGTAATTCATAACTCCAGCTTAAGTTTTCTCATAAAAAATCATAAGTCAAAAACAAAATATTATTTCAAATTAAAGTATCTCATTACGCAAAATGCTACAGCCATTTCTAAGAAAATTAGATGTACTTTGAACTTATTGATAATGAAAAAAATACTATATATGACAATATGTAATCTATCGTATCTGCCTCCATATAAACGACATCTATAAGTCATATCCCAAATTAATGAGAAAATATTTTTTAGGGGAAACTTAGGACTTGTTTTCCCACAGCTGGGTAAGTAGGAGGAGCATATCCAGGACACGAATTAAAATGAGGGCTCCCCCACTCGCAGCAGCGTCTGCTGCCTCCTTCAGCCAGTTGCCAGAATACTCTCTGTATCAGCAATGGAGGGTGGGTGGGCTTGGCTGCACCATGAGGAGCATCAGAAAATATAGGATATTTAAAATTATACTTCTGATACCACTGCCATTGTAGTTACGGGATGTCTTAGAAATACTAAAAACTACTGCCATTCTAATACCTTCAGTTCACACTATGATACAGAATAATTCTTTAGAAAGATTTCTTTTTAATCCTCACTCAAGGATATGCTTTTTACTTTATTGATTTTAGAGAGAAAGAGGGAGGAGGGGGAGAGAGAAAAAACACACACTGATGTGAGGGAGAAACATCGACTGGTTGCCTCTCATACGTGCCTCGACTGGGAGATTGGACCTGCTACCTAGGCATGTGCCCTGACTGGGAATCGAACCCACAACCCTTTGGTGTATGGGATGACACTCCAACCAACTGAGCCACTCACCCAGGGTGAAAGATTTTTTATTATAAAGTTTAATTTACAGCTAAGAGGGGAACCATTAATTCACAGGAAAAAATAAAGAAAATTTGTCTTTCCTAAACTAAATGATCTACACGTAATATCAAGCATTAAAAAGATGTACTGAGGCATTACTGGACTATAGAAAGCTTCTTTTTCAAATGGAAATGTACACTGTTTCCTGGGTTTGCCAGCTTCATCAAGCATAAGTGATACTGGGAGCAGGGAGTAAGAGTAATTGAGTGACTTTATCTTAAAAATGGAAAGAAACGTGCCTCCGCCAACGGTGGTTGGCAGGATTAAGTGAGGGAAGTATGAAAGACGATGGTGGCCTGTCAGGTATAGACCAGGCCGGCATTACTTGTTAACTTCATTCCTCTAGAACTATCCTCAAGTTGTGGCTTTAATATAACAAAGTTACAGTATGTAAATTAACATCACATGGAAGCTATTTTAGAGTGTGCCAGAAGAGGGTGCTAAACCAAATGCAAATATCTAAAGATAGCAGAGAGGCAATGGATTTCTTATGGCTCTAAAGTAATAAGTAAATGGCTTCCTCAATTGCCTGACCTAGCACTTCTCTGTCAATCTCTCTGAGAAGTCTACCAAGACATTTATCAGTGCTACAGCAAAGAATCACTGATAAAATATCATCAGAGCCAATCCTGGATCCTTTTGACTTCTGCACTCTAGAAATGCCATCTCAGAAGAAATTTCAACACCCGTCCTCCCACCCCCAACACTCACACACTTTAAGGCACATACTTGTGGATTAAAGAAAGTAATGCCTTGAAACAGTGTGGGACATTGTGAGGAGCAAATTAAACCATGTATGTGAAAATACTCTGGAAAGCATGTAAATCACAGAAATGTGAGGGATCATTTTGAAGAGTGCTGGGCTTAGTGTGATAGGAAGTTAAATCAGCATTTATGAAGCACCTATACCATGTCAGATATTGTGTTCTGTCCTTTACACTGGACAGATTCCTCATAAGAAATACTCCATGTGGTGGGTACTAGTATTACCTTAATTTTACTCAGACTTCAGTATGTGCTCAGTCTCTGAAACATGCATATAAACATAAGCATATATATGTACATACACACATCTGTATAAAATGTCTGTGAGCCTAAGTTTCCTAATTTATGAAAGGGGGATAATAGCTTAAGTCTACCACACAGGACTAAATGAAAAATATTAAATGTGGAAAAAGAACTGGCACTTTTACTCGCTCGTTTACTGTATGGAGAATAAAGTCACATACAACTTTAAGTTTGTAACAAATAAATAAGTCAGTGCGTTAATACTTCATTTTTCCTTTAAGAAGGGTCAGGAATAAAGACTGTGTCTTAAGCAAAAATAAAAACAAAACTAGGGGAATAAACATCCTTAAGGAGGACATTTCCTGGGGACAATCTTTGCCTTTGTTCCTGTCAGACTAGCAGAGCTGCCCTCTGTTCAAGGGAGGTGATTGCATTGACAAAGAGGTAGAAATTGTACTTTTCCCTCCCTTCTGCTGCCAATGTGAAAAGATGAAAGGAAAGTTAAACCTGATTAGGTTTCTGATAAATAATAATTATATGCTTTCTCAGAGACCAGCAAATTACCTGGGCTAAATGCCATTTCTGGAAGCTTTACTTCAAAGATGATGCTGTGGGTGATGTCTCTAACCCCCTGCATGGTGCGGTCCCGGAAGCAGAGGACTTCAACAGACTGGAAACTCCTCCTCCTTGTGTCAGGTCCCGGTTGTCATTGTTGTTTTTAAGAAAGGAAAAGAAAGAGCTCACATAAGAACTTTAGCAAACCCAGGTGGAGAGAATTCAGCTCATTGTAATTATGCTTCCCTGACACTCTTGGGGGATGGCCTTAACCTTTGAGAGATTCTGAACACATCCACGTATTCTTCATTTGGCTCAGTGCTTACAGGCTGAAGGCTGAATAGGTTATGATTTCTTTCTAGGTGAATTTTATATAACAATCATAAATAATGACTCTTAAATGTAAGCGAAAAAAACTCACAAGACACTAAAAAGAACGGCTGGGGCATCCATGGGTTCTTCTGGTCACCCTTCTCTCCATCTGAGCTTACATCCTACGAAACCACACCTCAGTAGCTGGAAGCCCATTTGCACTATATAGACTGACCACCTGGATAAGTAAGTATAACCATTCTCCCTCTGGGGACAATCTATAACTTAGCTAGCTATCTTCACTTTTTTATAATTTAAAAAAAGAAAAAAGTCTACTGACTTCAGAGAGAGGAAGAGGGAGAGAGAGAGAAACATCAGTGGAGTCATTAATGGGCTGCCTCCTGCACGCCCCCTACTGGGGACTGAGCGTGCAACACAGGCACGTGCCTTGATCGGGAATCAAACTGTGATCTCCCGGATCATAGGTAGATACTCAACCGCTGAGCCATGGAGGCTGGGCTATCTTCATTTTTTTTTTTTTAAGTAAACTTTCACGTAAGTAAAGCAACCACAAAGCGAAGTACACAAATTTTAAATATAAAGGAGCTTGTCTCATGGCTTCTCCCAGTTATTAACCACCCCTTCAAAAATAACTACTACTCTAATAAAGTCCATACATGGCTTTTGCATATTTTGACCGTCACATAGATGGAATCATAGAGTATATATTCTTTTATATCCAGCTTATTTCACTCAAGCATTTATATGCGATATATACCTGAGAGTGAAATTGTTGAGCAACATTGTTTTTTAAACTCATCTATACTGACACATGTATTGGTAGTCCACTCAAATTCATAAAATAGTATTCCATTGCAATGAATAAACCACAATTTATTCCATTCCATTTCATTGTTGAATGACATCTGGGTTATTTCCAGTTTTGGGTTATTAAGAATACTACTACTATAAACATTCTTTTTTTTAAATCCTTACCCAAAGATATATTTTTAATTGATTTTTAGAGAGAGAAAAAGGGGTTGGAGAGAGAGAGAAACATCAATGTGAGAGAGAAACATTAACTGGTTACTTCCCATATGCACCCCAACTGGGGATCGAACCTGCAACCTAGGGATGTGCCCTGACCAGGAATTGAACCCACAGCCTTTTAGTGTATGGGATGATGCTCCAACCAACTGAGCCTCCTGGCTATAAACATTCTTGGTATGTGTTTTGCTTGTATCTGAGTTAGCATTTATATGCGACATATACCTGAGAGTGAAATTGTTGAGCTACAGATATTTCTAACTTTGATAGATATTGCCAGCTTTCCAGGAGTGTCTGAGAGTTCCAATTGCTCCACAACTTCAACAACACTTGCTATTGTCATTTATTAAGTCGTGCTGGTGGGTATGTAGCAGTATCTCATTATTGTATCTTATTATCTCTATTAATGAGTAAGATCTCATTTTTTTTCCTTGATGATCAATTATGTTGAGCATCTTTTCAAATGTATATCGGCCCAATAGATACCCTTTGTTTAAGCTATTTTAGGGTTAGGACAAAAGGAGGCTAGAGCAACAGGATAATCTTATTTGAAAGCAACCAGACAGCTGAAAGGAGGGCTGAAGAATTTCAGGGTCAGGACCTCTGGCTACTTGCCCTGCCATATTCTAAAATATCTTTAGTACACTATGGTCACAGTCTGCAGCTCCATAACAGCCCTGCTTAGGGGCTCACCACTGATGGAAATCAGTTCACAACTAATTTATTGACTTATAATCTGGTTTGTGTGCCAGAAATGAAAAAAATGCAAATATAGGCAGACACATTGTCAAAAACATATAGACAGACAGACACACAGATAAATACCGTACCATCTGTGGGCTGCTAGGACCAAAAAATTCCTCAAAGGCCATCCAGGGTATTGGGCTAAGTTACAGGGATCGTATACACCAACTGTTATCTGTGAACAGAAAAGACTTTCTGAGTGAATCAAGTATCGTGTCAGATTCACAATACAGACATTGCTAACACTTCCTCTTCACTTTTTATGCGGTTCTGCAAAAGCATTAACAATTAGACGCTCAGTGAGGGGCTAAAGGGAAGGGAAGAAAGCAAAAATGATATAAGTGTAGACTACAGAACTCCCTGATGGCAGAAGCTGTCAGTCTTCTCTGTACCCCTGTACCTTGCACAGGCCTGGCAGAGAGCAGGAACTAGATACATGTAAAAGGAAGAAAGACTGAGGGAAGACAGGGAAGGAGAGAAGGAGGGAGGGAGGGAAGATGTCAACTGTCAGGGCTCACATAGAGAAAATCCTCTCTTAAAGAGACATAATCTGTGAAAATTACTAATTTTTATATGAGGAAATCTCAGGGCCACTACCATTATAAATCTAAAGCCAGGTCAAATTAAAAAGCCAGATGCCCTTGATTGCTGACATGTTTCCTCCCATCTCTTCCCATTCCAACTCCCAAAACTCTGACCTCTGTCTGGAAAACTTGACTCAACTTCAAATGCCATTTCTTCAGTGCTGTCTCCCCTTGGCTAAAGTAGTGCCTCTGTTCCCTCTGCTTCCACAGCATTTTGAACATTATACACAACATTTTTCACTTTTTCTGTCTTCTTTCTCTCAAAAGACAATGAACACTAAACACCTAGGTCTCAATTTCTAAGTACCATTATCCAACAAAAGGAATCACAGCTCCTTGGATACATGGCTAATTCCAGGGCTGAGGCTGGAAAAATACAAGAGGAACCTGGAGCACCTTGTATATCAGAAAGTAAGGAAGTGCTCAATAAACAAAAGGATGGGAGATGTCAAGAGATCACCAGAGCCAATAGAAAGAGCTATCTCAATGGCCAAGGTTGAACCAATATGGGCAACAAAATAAATAATATAGTATGGGATTATAATCCATAGTATAAAGTAAATATCTACGAGTCCATTCTGATATAAATGATGGGATAGATAAGTATATAAAGGTAAAGGAACAAGTCTTCCTTACAGAAGATTTCCAAACAATATATGTAGATACATACTGCCCCCTCCAGGAGTAGAGCTTAATCATTGAGAGTGGCTGGAGTTAGTGAATCACATCTAAAGAAAAAATAGTAACTATGCAGTGGAGAAACCTGGCAAATTCTACTTTAACCAAGTGATCAAGTTCAACATCGCCAGGGACGCTACATGGATATCAGATACTCCCAGATATGATGTGATGAAAAGGGCACTTTACCTCAGTGGTATTCTTTCTAAAAACCCATAATCCCAGTCTAATCATAAAAAACAAACAAAAAGAAAACCTATAAAAAACTAAAATCAGAGTGAAGGAATATGGGAACTCTCTGCACTATCTTTGCAACTTTTCTGTAAATCTAAAATTATTCCAAAATAAAAAGTTTATTTAAAAAAAAAACTGCCCTGTGTGGCTCTGTTGGTTGAGTGTCATCCCATGCACTGAATGATTGCCGGTTCAATTCCCTGTCAGGGCACATGCCTGGGTTGTGGGCTTGATCCCTGGGAGAGGGGGGAGCGTGTCGGAGGTAGGGGTCGATGTTTCTCTCCCTCTCCCTTCCTCTCTCTCTAAAAATCAATAAAAATATTTTTTTTAAAAACAAGATGATGAATATCTAAAAAAGAGAAGTATCTTTTTCATCTCCCCATGATCAGTTCATAGATACATAGCAGATACTTAGTGAATGCTTGTTGAATGATGAAAACAGATGGATAGATGGATGATGGATTTCTAAATGATGGATGGATGATGGATGAAAGGAAGGAGGAAGGAAAGATGGCTGGCAGAGAACCGTAAGTTAACCCCAGGTGTCCTTTACAGGTATACCGGTGCGTTAAATAGAAACATGGCAGACAAACTTGTAATTAGTCTAGATCCAGTTAGTTCTGTAAGAACGGGAATAGCCCAAACACTTCCATTTATTTACCAAAGTGCTGAGTACAGTGTCAGCCACAAAGAAGGAGCTTAACCAATATTCAGATAAAACAAAGACAGAAAGAGAGACAATGAGGGAAGGGAGGGGGGGAGGGAGGGAGGGAGGCCATAACAACACGATCCAGAGAGAAACACTATTAACACCTTGGTGTGTAACTTCCCTTAACTTTATTCTTTACATAAATATATTTTTATTATTACAACTTTTAAACAAAAGTGGAAATCATGCTATAAATATTGTTTTATATCTATTATTCTATTGTGAACTCTCTTCCATATTAATAAGTGTCATTCTACAACCACTATCATCAGTAGCTGAATGGCATTCCACTGTACTGATGTAGCACAACTTTTTTCTGTTTTCTATTAAAGGACAATTAAGTAGTCTTCACCTGTGCTCAATAAATCTCTGAAAATGTCTTACTATTATTGTCTTATCAGATAATTACTGCATTATTTCAAAGGCATTCTTTCGAATACATTTGCTGCCTTCTGCGCTATAAATTTTCTTATTCCCAAGACTGACACATTTTGCCTAGATGCATTTTCATGTATTAAATGCAAGTAGATTCATATTTAATTCAATATAAACAGATTCATAGGTATGGCCATCCTTTCGGAAAATATAGGATACCTTTATTTGAGATTTCCTTTTCCATGGAGAGATAAAACCTCAGGATCTAGGAAGCTTTAAAAAATAGAACTTGCAGAGACTATTCTGAGTACTGCCCCTTATTCAATGAGTGGCCTAGGGAAAATTAGTCAACTCCTCCAAGACTCAATTTTATTTGAATCACTCAGGCATTTTATACAAACAGATGGCTAGTCTCACCACTGGAGATTCGGAGTCACTAATAATGTTGTTAGAAGCAATACCCATGTGCAGGGTTTCATGTTCAGTACCATCTCACCTAATCCTCACTACAACTCTATGAAGTAGGTACTATTGTCTTCCCCATGATTCAGTAGTGACACATGTTATCTGCTGGATAAACTACAAAAGCAATCATCGCTTCAACTTCAATCAAAAAAAAAAAAAAAATTCATCAGAGGCATTTACAACTCTGTTACCCAGCAAGAAAAAGGGAGAGAAGGGAGAAATTAACATTCTACTTGTCTAACATTTGAAATGAGTTAGAAAAGAAATGGCCTGATACAGTAAAAACAAAAACTACACATACACAAAACTACTGGTTGGAGCAGTATATGTCCTAACCCTATAGCTAATTGATTTTAAGACCTTGGGGAAATTCTTTCCTCACCTGTAAAATGAAGGGGTTGAATCATTTTATCTCAAAGGATTCCTTTTAGCTCCAGAATTATAGAACTTCAAAGAACATTAAAGAGACAAAAATCCTACATAGGTTATAAAACAACACAGATTATATTAAGGTTCAATTTTACGGCTATTCAACTTATTTAGGAAGAACCTAGACAACATCAATCCAAAAAATGCCATTTGTATAGAGACTTTGAGTTTCAGTTTTCATATGTGACTCCATAAACCTGGGCTCTCATCAAACGTTCAGAGTTACTCTTGTGCAACCCTTGGCAATTTACTTAACCTCTTTATGCCTTAGTTTTCTCATCCATACGATAATTCTTACCTGCACTTGAGCACAGACACAGGCAAGCACTCAACAGATGGTGACTATAATGCAATATAAATAAACTCTATTGTAGTACCTTCACTCACCTATCTGTTCAGTTCAGTCCATCACCATTATATAGCTATCTATCTTCAGTATGTATCAAAGTTATCTTTTCCTAACTGGTAGAGAGAAGAAGTGGATAAGTTCTAGTTTATCATATATTCTCTGGGTCTAGGTTTTATCAACTGCAAATGTAGAGTTGGGACTAAGTGGTACTTAAATTATATAAATTAGAATGTTATATACTACAAGTGGATGCCTAATTTCAAAGAATGAGCATATTTCTGACACTAAATACAAAGGCAATGAGGTATGAAGGTAGTAAGAAAAAAAGAAATCTTTTTTTGAGCCGAAAAGACCAGGAATAAGTTCTTAGAGCAACATGACCTAAGATGAGCTACAGAGCAGGAATGAACTGCTAAAGAGAAATCTATCACTTACCCATAAAGGGAGGTCAGCGTGAAAATGCTTTGAAGTAACTCTCCTACTCACATGAGGCAAGCATCTGGACAGAAAAATGACAGAATCCATTTGACACTAGGCTGAACATAATTTAATATTCCTTTGATTTTTCTAAAGTGGCTCCAAAACCTGTAAGTGCTTTAGCAACTAAATCAGGAAGCTCAGTCATTATAGAAATTAGTCAGCACAATGCTAGGAAGCCAGCTTAACTCTTTAGGTAATCAATAAAAATTTTTTTAAATGGCAACCAAAAATCATCATTGACTAGGAGTTCTGGGTTCTAGAACTGGCTTTGCCGCAAATTCATTGCATAAACTTGGACAAATCACATCCTTTTATAATACAAATCAGCAGAAAGAAGCAAAATATAATTGGAAAAATACTTTGCTTAAAAGGTTTATAAAATAAATATTTATTTCTACTTGGCTGAGAGCATACAACTCACTGAAGTGGTCCAGTCATGATCTGGCTATGGTCTACCCAGCAATTTGCTGGAAAAGTACATGAGAAAGAAAAGGGGGTGAAAACTGTCAACTTGAATGTCTTGAGAAATTTCCACACTGATCCCATAAAACATGTGTATCTGACCAATGGCTATTACCCAAACATTTGATATAACAGGAAATGCGCAAAGGAAATTACATATTTTAAAAGTATAAGAAAATCATTCATAGCGCTAATGCCCGGTGATGTCACAGACAACTGCCAAAATGAAAAAATCGCTAAGAGTCCGTTAAAAGTATACCAATGCTATTGCTCTAAAGCCCTAGAATTAAAGCCTAATGTTTTTGAAATTACAAAATATTTCCCAAACATCCAATCTTCAATAACTGCTCTGAAGAGAATAAAAGACTCAAACAAGCTGTCCAAAAAGATTGGCAATGGAATAGCTATAT